AACATGTGATCCTCCCCTTCCGAAATCAGAAATGCGCCCCCCCCCCCGCCTGTTTGAATAGTGCGAACGGACGGTTGACCCTGCTCCCAACCCGCAATGCATGCCTCGTCCACAAATCTTCCTTTTCAACGTCGACTGTAACGGTGGCGCCAACCAGGAATTCGGCTGCAATTCTGGTTATGCAGCGTTGCGGTCGCGGAGCCGGTGTGGAGCTGGCAACTCGGAGAATTCGTCCAAACGCGCTTGCTTACCATACTGAGCTCCTTCAGGGCTGGCGAAGAGGAGGCTTGTGTTCACGAATCCCTCAACAGATTCTTTTGTTGTTTTCACGTACGAGTGGCGTGGCACCTACAGTTGCATTTGCGTAGGATCACCTCATTTTTCAAGTGCGAGTTTTGCGTTTTAGTTCCGTTCAGGAGACTGTGATAATAAGGATCATCTGCGCGAATAATAGAACGTCTTCATGCTTCGTTCGACTTGATTTTTGGCTACCCTATAGACAACCCTCCAACAGAATCGTGTCGAAGAATCTATTCAGTGGTGGGATAATGTAGCCCACAAGTATCACAGATGTGCCGTTGTCGCGTCTCGAAAATGCGCGACAATGGCGCTACGGCTCTAAAAATTAATCTATGGCGATTAATCTTAGCGTTTGGACGAGTTACGTCGTTGTGTTCCGTATATGAACTGCCGCACGCGGCGGCACATATGCACTTTCCGCATGGCGCCGCAATCCTCATGTCCAGACCACACCCGGGACCGCTATTATTTTTGCTGCTGTGGAATTTGAATTTTACCTGCTCGCCGTGATACTTGAAATCTTCTTGCTCATACTCGTACGTCTCCCCAAGGAGTGGATTGAAAAACTTGCGGAAGCGTCCAGTCGAGTTCGGATATGGGGACACAGCAAAGGCGGCCACCTGCAATATAGAAAAAATGATGGTAGCTACTTTTTAAAAGTGCTTTATGAGTGAGTTATGGCTTCAAATCGGAGGAGAAAAAGGTGTGATCTATTTTTTGGGTGTGCTCACAGCTTTCGGAAACCAAATTGGAGGTTCGAGGTGACGTTAATGTACAAAAAATGGAAACTTTATCGCAAACTCTGGACATGAAATCCTACCTCAGAGAGTAAATGAATTTTTGATGGAAAGACAGGGGTCAATACGAGAACGGGGGGAGTAAATGTAATGTGGATTCCTTTTCGTGAAGACGAATTCGCGAACACGGTGGGCCAGTCACCGTCTGTAGCCTCATAGCGCTGTTATAAAGGCGCGGTATCATAACTACTTTTCATAGCTCAAATCGTCAAGGACCTTACATTTCAGAAACCTCATAGATATGAGCTTCTATGTTACATCAGTAAGCAGTAGCTCAAACCGTTCTTGTCTATAATATTTTAGTGCTTTTGGATCATTTCCACTTCGCCATTTGCGC